ACCCCTGTGAGAGCGTCAAGCTCGACGGGCCTCTAAGTTTTGGGTGGCCACCGCCAACGTGCTCACGCTGCACCCCAACATGTGGGACGGGCTTCAGGACTCCTAGGAACCTGGGCCTGGGAGGCTCATGCAGCTGGCCACTCAATTCGCGGCCCAACAGTACCGCTTGGTCGGGATCTTGGAGACTAAGCTTCAGGTACACACAAAGAGTAGGCTCTTGGACGGTACTACATACTACATTCCTCGGCTCCGTCTCAAGGCTCCGACGCATGGGGTTTGAATACATGCAGGGTCACCATATCACTAGGAGCATGCGTCGAATACTACACGTGGAGCCAGCCAGGCTCATTGCGGGGATCAGGGGACAAGGTATCAGTATCAACGTGATGATTATACACGCTCCGCACTCCCGCTCCTACTCTCCTACGCAGACTCCTGGGCACAACGTTGCAGAGTGGTGGGGGGTCATCGCACAGCTCGCACAGGCAGCCAGGCTGGGCGCGAAGCACCTCATTACGCCAGTCGGCTCCAACGCAGCGCTGGGCAGCATCAGCTCGCCTGCAGTTGGAGACAAGAATCCAGAGCAGGAGAATCGTGCCGGAGTCCACTTTCATCGCTTCCTCCTCGACGCACAGCAATGGGCCCATTTACCTTCACGCAGTCCTCCTCTGGGCCCACGGGGCCCTGGATGGCCCCCTCGGGCAAAGCCAGAGCCAAGAGGAGGGAGCCCACAAACGACGTACGCGCCCAGCTATGTACATGAACACGGCCCCACGATTCGCGAGACCCGCCGCGTTATACGAACATTTGTGCAATGCGCGCTCTCGAAACCAGCGTGGATTCATGTACATGTACGTCCTTGTTTCGCTCCTGAAAGAGGAGAGACTGTGTTACTGCCCCGGAAACTACTGCTACGTTGCAGCAGGGGGTCGCCGGGGTAGCGGATTACACTGTCGCTCAGGAGGATCACCTAGCTGTTGGGGCCCTCGTACCTCTGTCCCCCTCGGGATGCATCCAAGAGCGCGCCGCATCAAACCAGGCCCCACATGACCCTAAGCTTTCAAGGATCCCGAAGCCGGGGCCCATTTCAAACAGCTTCTCCAAAGGGCCCCAACAATAGAGTTTGACACACACAGCTCTGACCGTACCATGGCACTGGACCAACCTGTCCGCAATTGCACGGCTGCCTCCTTACCCGTCAAACAGAGCGTCAGGGATGGATGGATACAGCAAGATACTATGACAGCAATTGATCAGCGTGCCCGCATTCACGCCAAGAGAGACAAGTCCGAGGGGCAGTCTCTACGGCGGCACGTGCAAAACTATTTTGCGCGGGCACAATTCACCCATCATGCCAGGTTGGTCGATCTCCACCTCTTCGGACGGCCTCTTCTCACGCTACCTCCAACCCCTGACACCGTGATTGAGGCTTGAGAGAAAGGTATTCGAGTTGTCAACGGGATTTGCATGTGTCAGTGAACTATCCTAGACGCATCAGCCAACCTCCAAGCTGCAGAGACAACCAAGCGCAGGCGCGCGAAGTGGCCTATGCTAGCTAGCTACCAGGCCGAGATGCAGCCTTTTCGTTGCAATTAACCCCGACAGTTTCTACGTGAAGGTACTACTACTATCTCCCTGCTCAGGGGTATCTGGGGCTTTCCTGCAGAGGCTGAGTGAGAAACTGCAGCCACGCGCAAGCTTTTCAAACTACACAACACCTACGTGGTCAAATGCCTCTCTAGGCAAAACGCGCTCAGACAGTATCACAGCCTGGCCGACCAACTGCAGTCGGAGCGGGGCTAGCATACAATGGACAAGGATTTCGCCACACTCCGACGCTCCATCAGTACGCTGTCGCATTGGCGCCGCCACGTGTAGGTGTGATCATGCACGGCTAGTTGCTCGCTTGATTTGCTGATGACTTGCGGCGCGTACACTGAGATAAAAACCCCTGCTGCCATAGCGCGCCCCCATTGTCACACCCCTAGCAGGTTTCATGTCTAGGTTGCCGTCGGCCCCTTCCGCGTGCACGACTAGGTTATCGATCGCTTGCTTAGCCAGCTCGATATTGTGCTCGCAGTGCTGCGCGCGGTGCAGCGCCCTCAAATGCTCTGTCCGTGCTGGCGAACGCGTTCGTGTCATCGAAATTGCTCATAGCGTGGCTCACCTTCAAATCTCTACACCTCCAAATCGCAATGCTCAATACGAATAGAGCTTCCCCCCGCCGTCGCCCTGGCATTCCTCCATGTGCAAACGACGGGAACTTAGCTGGGGTCCTCGCTCGCTGCGCTAACTGACCAAACCAACTCATGCTGCAAGAACCGAAACAATGTGAAAGCCTTTTTCCCCTTGGTGCCGTTCTCTCCGTTGTCTTTGCTCTGCGCGAACATCTGCGATCGAAAGAAACTAGGTGGCACCTGGTCCGTCTCGCCCACCAACGCTACGAACTGCTGGTATGTATGAAGAAATGCCTCTGACGTGGTGTCCATCTCCCAATCGTTGCCCGCCGGGTCTTCTGCGCTGCGATAGGTCGGGGACAGTAGCTGCAGCAACGCCTCTGCATGCACCCCCCACGGTGGCGCGGTTCTCCGCTCGGGCGCCTTCCTCGGGCATCGTATCTGCCCTTCCAAGTCAGCCTTGGCGAGTTGGATGGCGCGGTCTCGTTCATGCACCTTCGGAAGGAACTGCGCGTCGTCTGCGACGTTGTTCCAGTCGACGCTGTCCGCGTTCACGCCTCCCAGATGTGGTGGGAGCTGGAGCCCGTGGCGCCACTCTCCGACGGTCATGCCCTGGCGCACCGCGAAGATGCATCTCTTCTCGGGTCCTCTCCCTGTCCATGTTAGACTATTTTTGATATTGTGCATCTGCGCCCATTTGCGCTGCTTCCAAACGTCCACCAGTTCAAGTAGAAGTGCTTGCCGCGCGCCCGCTGTCTGCTGCTTTCTCATTTTCTGGGGCCCCCGAGTGATGACGCACAGTTGTCTCTAGATTGCCTGAAACTGCCCTGTGTTATGGTCGGCACTCTCGGCACGCATCCGACCTCGTCGTTTGATCAGCTCCATCCGATTATTTCTGTTCGTCTTGCACTCCTCGGTGCGGCGTGGCCCAGGGGGAAATACTTCTGCTAGGGCTCCTCGCACTGCTCCTCCTATGTGACCCCATGCGGCTTGAACGTTGTTGCGCCGCATGGCGCACTGGTAGTTCTCGTCGTCCTCGGCAAGCTTCTGCGCGACGGCGTCGAAGAACTCCTTCCTGCGGCACCCCGTAGTCTGCGCGCTCATCAGGCAGTCCGTTGGCAGGTAGAGCATGCGGGTTCACCTTGCACACCTTCTTTGCGATCCCGATCTCCACGCACACGGGCACGCGGTCTTCCAATGCTGCACTAGGTTGAAGTTGGAGCTTGCGTCCCAATCTGATCAATGTGTTCAACTTCTGCATGCTGGACATCACAGTCATAGGGCACATGACGTGGTCTATCTTGGACGTTGCACCTCGCTGGAAGAATGTGGGGCCAGCGTTCCAAAAAGTCGAAGCCACGCTCACGTGCTGCTCCGTTGCAAACCTCCGAAGCAGCGTCGATACATGCGTCTCGTGCGTTGCCTCCTTCGCGCCAACATGTTCATCCGCCACTGTGTAGCAAGCCCCCAACGACGTCCCGTCTGATTCCAAACCCACTATTGAAGTCACCAGCGATAATAGGCAACGTGATGTGGCCCTCTTTCTCGATCTTTTGGCTGATCCAATGCAAAATTCGCCTCGCTGTCTCCTTAAGTAGTGTAAGAGTTGCGCCCTTCGGAGGAAAGTAAACTGGAAAAATACAGATTGGCCGCCCATGCACTAGCATATGAACCCGCGCGGCTCTTCCCGCGATGCCTTGTGATCGCGGGGGGGGGGGGGGGGGGGGGCCCAGCTCGCTGGACTCCTCGGACGCACTTGCCTAGGAGAACAGCCAGCCCGCAGGATTTGTTAACGTACTTAAGCGGTTTCCATCCAAACTGAATGACTTTGTGAAGTGGCAGTTGGCTCTCCTACATATCGCGTTTGACGTCGGTGAGGCGCTGCGTACTTGTGACGACTATAACATCCACGCCCCGACACTGCACGCTGATCTCCCCCAGCCTCGCGTAGTCGGCACTCTGGGCGTTGTAGTAGACTATATGTAACGCCATCTGGACAACGCCCGTGCGCCTCCCCCACTTCGGCCCTGCCCCGTGCCCTCAGGCCGCCCTCGGCCCGAGTCGCGCCATGTTGTCCCCCAAAACTGCGCGGGGAGCGCGGGCGCCGCTGCTGCCTGGAGCTTCTCTGAAGCCGACATGGCAGCTGGAGGAGGAGGGGGGGAGGAAGAGGAAGAGGAGGAGGAGGAAAAGGAGGAGGAGGAGGAGGAGGAGGAGGAGGAGGGAGGACACGGAAAAGGAAGAAGACGACCATCGCCAAACGAACAGGGGGCGACGTCAGAACGCACAGGCGAGAATGACAATTGCCGGGAGGCTGCTCTGCCACTCCGAATCGCGATTCAAAACCTGCAAAAACCTAGAGACAATAACCGTGCCGTTTGAAGGCCCGGCAAAAAAACGGCATGGTCCTCTAGGCCGCTCTGGCCGGTTTCTGCGGGGGCGGGGGGCGAACGCACGCCGGGAAACAGACCCCGAAACTCCCGCGCCAGGAGCCTCGAGTGGGAGGGGCGGGAGGAGGAAAAGGAGGGAAAAGCGTGAGAAACGATCGCTGCGCAGGACGCGGCGCGAGAGCACGCGGGGCGTGGACGCGGCCGCGGGGCGCGAGCCACCAGGCCCCGCCGTTAGGTAGGCGCGCGCGCGCCCAAGCCATAACAAGGGAAACCGAAGCGGAGCGCGAGAGGAAGAAGAAAAGGCAGACGGGGGAGGACAGGAGAGGGGGCGCACTGCAGAAGCTGAACGGCGCGCATGAGAGGCAGCTCAGTGGAGAGCACCTCGGCCCGCCTGGCGCGAATCACTGCCAGGTGCGCCCCCCCGCCGGCACTTCGCCAGCGCCAGCGAGGTTGTCGCCCAGGGCGCTCCGGGCCGCGCGCTGGCCCCCCGCCTCGTCGCCGACCAGCCCGTGGACGACCCGGGAGGTGCGGGCGGCGCGCGCCGGCGCGCAGCGCCTCGCCATCCTCGCGCGCCGCACAGCGAAGGCCACCCCGACGGAGCACGCCCGGGGGCTCATCCTCGCCCTCCGCGTGAGGGCCCTGGCGCAGAAGGCCGCGGCCCGCTCGGCGTCGGGGTTGGCGCGGCCCTCGCCGAACCAGACCAGCGGCCGAGGGCGCGGGCGCGCGTCACCCCACTCGGCGACCGCGGCCCGGCACCTCGAACTTGGCCCGGCGGGCGGACGCCGCGCAGTCGGCCCCCGCGGCAGCGGCCTCTGGGCCGACGATCGCCACGTCCACCGCGGCCTCGCGGTTCGGCGCCGCCGCCGTCGCGAAGACGTCGCCAGGCTGGGCGCCGGGCCTCGCTTCCACCGAGCCCCGTTGCACGCGAGCGCGGCCCCGCCACCGACCTCGTGCGCGCGCGAACACGGCGCGGACCACCGCGCTGTGCCCCTTGGCGCGCTCGGTCTCGACAATCGACGAGGCCGCCAAGCTCAGGGCACGCGTCGGAGTCCGGCACCACGCTCGCGCCGAGGCGCAGCTGCAGGCAAAGGGCACGATCATCCCCACACAACACGGGCCCCGCGCAGAAGTCGAGACGCCAGACCCACCCATATTCAACAGACCGGTCGCGGAGCTTCGCCAGGCAGCATCGAACCACTCGACCAACCGGCGCAGGCGCGAATTGCCCACCAGGGCGCTGAGCTGGCGCTGCGCGCCGGCAACGGTCAGTCGCGCGCAACCACCCTCGCCCGGGCGCTCGAACAGGGCATCGACGCCGTCGCCAGCAGCGACGTCTCCCCTCCCGAGCGGCCCCTGTGCGCCGCCTGCCAGCGCCGCCCGCTCGCCCCCCGCGCGCGCCGTCCACTGCGCGCGCGGCGCCGCTGGCTCGCCGCCACCGCCCCCCACGCGGCGCGCCCACGCCGCGGCGGCGGCGCCGGCCGCCTCGGCGACGGGCCGCTTGACCCGGGCCGCGCCCGGGCCGCGCCGGCGCCGTCGAGATCGGCGCGCAGCATCCCCGCGGCCTGCCGAACGGCGACGTCGCGCCCAGCTAGGAGCTGCCCTGATTGGAGGAGGCCAGCCTTCGCCAACTCGAAGTCCAGCTGCTGCGCCTCTGCCCGCGCCATCGATCGGCCGGCAAGGCAACGACAGCGGGCAGAGCGACGTCGCGGGCGCGCCTCATGCCCAGCCCGCCCACCCGCATGCTCGGCGCGCCGCGCGCCCAACCTGCCTCCGCGTCGCAGCCAGGGGCGAGCCGGTCTTGCGCGCCCTTCTGGACGCGGCCAAAAGACCACGGGGGGCCGGCCCCCCCGCCAGGACGCACTGCAAGCGCGGAGCAGGCGGGCCACCTCGGCCACCCCACGGCACGCTTGGGAAAGCGCCAGTTCTGCCCCAGAGCCTTCGATTCGCTGCACCTTGTTGGGCATCTTCTGGGCGATCGAGGCCTTGGCGCAAAAATCTGCGACCCTCGACTGCACCCTGCCCAGCGCCGCCCCGAGGCCCATTCTGGGCGCCGTTTAATTGGGGGGCGCACGGCGCCCCCAAGCGCCCCAGGCTCCACCCGGCTGCGTTCTCGCGCACTGCTCCTCCGCAGCACGCATCGCGACGACTGCCCAGCTGAAGTTGCGCTTGCCATCGCGCGCCGCCGTGCCGGGCCGCACTCGCCGGGCGCGAGTCGAGGGGGCCTGCCTCGTTGAGCGCTACGCGCTCGATGGGCTGTCCCTGGCCCCGCTCGAGCGCTCGGGCCTCGACCTCGCGGAAGCGCTCCGCGGCCTGGGCCCCATCGGGGGTCGCACGCGGGAGCCCCCCCGCGACTTGCATGGCGCGCGCTGCTCGCCTCTCGTCTAGCGGCCCGGGGAGGCGAGCGCCGCCCCCGCCTGGGCCAGGCCCGAAAGGCGCCCCCCTGCTCGGCCCCCCGGCCCTTCACCTGAGAGGGGGCGCGCCAGACTGCCCCGCCCGCGACACGCGCCTGCGCGCCCACGCCATCGAAGGGCCACCTCGGGGACCTCCTTGACCACCTCCTCCCGAATGGCGCCCCACTCGAGCCGACCGAAGCAGTTCTCCGCATGCACCAGCATTTTCGGGAACGCGCGCGGCAGTTCGCCATCGCCGCGAGGTCAGCATGCGAGATGCCGTCTGCGCCACCGCCCGCGCCGACGCCCCACCGCCGCGCGCCCAGCACAGCCGCGTCGACGCCCCAGCGGGCGGCCGCCAGGACGCGCTTGCTGACGACCATCTTGAAGAGTTCGCCCATCTGAATGTGCCGGAGGAGCTCGCCCATCTGGATCCGGAAAGGCCCTGGCTCGGGACCTGCCCCGCCGCCCAGCGCCGGCAACCGCCCTCGGGCCGCGGCCCCATTCGCCGCCACCTCGCCGCGCTGACTGCCAACGCCAGGGGGCCCCACCGCCGCCTCAACCGGGTCGATCGAGGTCGCGGGCCTCGTCCGTCTGGCCAGCCCCCCCCCGCAAGGCGCCGAAGTGCCACGGCCACACAGCGTCGGGGTCTTCGTCGCGCTCGTCGGCCCCCTTCTCCATGGAAACAGAAGCAGCGCTCAAGACCAACACGCATCGGCGGGAAACATGCCTCTGGCGGCCCGCGCCGTAAGAAACCCCAGCACCCAGTAGAGGCGTCTGCGAACTCCCAGGCGGCGGGTTCGCACGCTCTTCCGGAGGTGCCCAGCGCGCTCACCGGTCGGCCTCGGGGCTGCCAGCGCCGGGAATGTAGGGACAGGTATCGTCGGGATCTGGCCCTCGCCCCTCTGGGCCGCGCGGCGCTTGTACATGGAGGCGTCGGCGGCCCCGCGGCTGCGGTTCGCCAAAGCGAAAGCATGTTCCGCTTCCTGCTCCTCGTCCGAGGGCCGCGGCCTCTTGGACCGAGGGATGAGCGCACTCGCCCATGACGCCTTGTCCTCCGGGGTCGCCTCGACGCGCCCTTTGATCGAGAAGGCCATCATTGCCTTGCGGAAGCGGCCCTCTCTGGTGCACTTGCCTCCCCGGCGCCCCTGGCGCCGCTCCTCCTCGCCATCGGCGGAGCGCATGCGTCGCCCTGGTGCGGACCTCCCCGCATCGGCTCGGGCGCCGGCAGAACTGGGCTTAGCGGGGCTGGGTTTAATGATGCGCACTGGGGGGCGGCCGCCCCCGCCCCGCCCCACTAACCAGAACTGCCGTCACCCCCAAAAAACGCCCAGCTACGGCAGACTGAGCTGAGTGATTCTGGCTAATTAAGGGGGCCTGGGGCCCCGCTACTGACCGGGCCCCCTTGCCTGGGACCCTGGCAGTACCCGATCTGCAGCACGCGCCCGCTCGACCCTCTCCACGAGCTCATCTATGCGCCCCTGCCCCCAGAACTGGAGACGGGTCCGGATCTCCTCCACCTCGTCTTCAGGCCCAACCCACGCGAAGAGCAGGCGATCACGGCGCCGGGCCAGTTGGGACCAGTGTTCGCCGCTGCTGGCAGCGATGCCCTCCAGGCGCTCCGCCCAAGACGCTGCGAAACGCGCGAGCAGGCAAGAGGCACGCGTTCGACCGTGCCATGGACCCCACGGCCGCTGCACGCGGAGCTGGACTGTTGGCAGCAGCGCCTTGGTTCAGCCCAGGGCGGGGCGCCACCGCCGCCGCAGCACCGCGCGGGTTGGGGTCAAGTCCGGGCGGCGGCGTCAGGAGGCGCCCTCCCTCCGGCGTGATTGCCAGGTACTGGGGGGCGCGGCTGTCATCCGTTCCCGCCTCGTCGCCGCTGGCGTCGCCCGCCACAGCCTGCGGTGCCAGGAAGCTCGTTCGGTCGACGATGGCGTCGCCTACGACTGGCGCGCGAATGGGGGCGTTAAGCCGCGTTGCTGGCACTGCCGCGACGAGCCCGCCCGTAACGCACCGCATCTTGTGCACACCCTCTTGTTGTGGAAGTGGAGCTGGCGCACGCGCATCTCCCCCAAGCGTTCGCCCGGGTGCATTGGCCGCCAGGTGCTGCAGCAGCCCCTTGCTGCACTTGGATGTGAAGCACCCAGCAGGGCACCATAGGCACGCCAGCATCTGCGGCGGCCGGGCTGGCGGGCCAGCGTTGCTGGCAGAGCACTCCCTGGGAGGGGCCTCGGCCGGGGGGCTCGCCGAGCCCTAGCCCCGCCCTCTCCTGGCGGCGGTCCGCCTGCTCCTGGGGCTGGCGCCGGCGCAGCTCGCGTTTCCCGGCCCACGCTGGCCGCAGGCGGGGGCGGCGGTGGCAACTCGTCGATTCGTGCGCGGACTCGTCGCCGCAGCTCTGCGAGAAGAGTCCCCGCGTCCTGCTCCAGGAAAGCGCTGGGGTCCGAGAGCACCTCCTCGAGACGGACGACGAGCCCCGCGGCGTCAGCGTTGGCGGCCGGGCCGCTGGCAGCACAGCACCACCTGCGCCGGCGTCTAGTGTTTCGCGTGGCTCGGCCCCCTCGGTGAGGTTGCGCCGAAACCGCCCACGCGGGCGCCTGTCCGCAACGAGATCGATGAAGGCGCCCCGAACCTACAGCGGGCCTGCGTCCCCGTACGGCCTCCCCCCGTGCGGGTTGGGGCTCACGCTGGGGGCCGAAGCCAGCAGGCGTGTCCCCCGGGGCCCTCTGCAGCGCCCCGCGCCCCCCTCCCCGGCTGAGGCTCCCATCCTGCCCGTGCGCGGCCGCGCCGGACAGCGCCGTCTCTGCCGCAGCCGCAGAAGCAGCATCAGTGCCGGGTTGGAGAGCACGCTGCGCCCAGTGCTCGCGCTGCCGCGCCATCCACGCCGTGCGCCAGGCAAATGCGACACCGCATCGCCCGTAACGCGCCTCAGCGGCGGCGGCGGGCCATCAGGCGCGCCCGAGGGAGGGAAGAGGGGAGAGGCGCAGCGGAGAAGAGGGAGAGCGGCCGCGGGGGGGGGGTCCCGGAGTACCTCGGCTAGCCTTGAGCGAGTACCTTGCAGCATGTTGCACGAGCGCGCGGGGTAGTGTGCAGATGTGCACAGAGGTGTGCACAAGTATGTACAAGCGTGCACGTGTGCGCAAGAGCTTGCAGGAGAAAGCCAGAGTCTGCAGGTTTGCGCAGGCGCCACGAGAAGTTCTTGTTGTGTAGTCAGCCGCGACGTGGGATACGAAGCGTCGGACAGTCCCTCCTCCTCATCCTCATCCTGCTCACCCTTTCTGTTGAGAGGGTTCCGACTTAGCAAGGCTGCACCTCCTTCCTCATCACCTCCCCTCATGAACCACTAACGGGATCGGCAGATCCATCCACCAAGTTGTCCTGTTCTCCCCTCCCCTTCCCCTCGTCCCACCCCCTCCGAGGGGCTCCCCTGTCCTCTCTGCCCTTTCTCCCTTTCCGTCCCCCTCCCCCCTCTTCTCCTCGTCCTCCTCACCCTCCTTCCTCGACGTCCTCCCCCCTCCCCTTCCTCCCCTCTCGTCCTCACCCTTCTGGGGCGCTCGTCCCCTCCCCAAGTGGAGCAGCACACAAAAAGCTGAAAACACACACGCGGCTGGATCTACGCGCACGACATTGGGGGGGGAGGGGCTTGAAGGATGCACGTGCGGAAGGACGGCGGGCTTGGCCATCCCAGAGCCGAGCGCTGACGCAGCGCTTGAATAAAATCGCATGAAAATCAAAGAATTCCAGAGCATCTAATTCTACACCATACAGCACCATCTGCTTTTTTACTGTGTGGCCAGCACCAGGAAGAGCGGGATTGATTACCTGCCTTGCGTGCAGTACACACATATGTAGGGGTCACCCACCAAGACATTATTACCCAGAACTCCTCGGTACAAGAGAGACGAGAAGACATCCCAGGACGACCCGGAAGAGCCCCAACACGGTCACGAGACCGTCCAACAGAAATTCCGAGGCCCCCTCGTGACGCCCCAAGAAGGCGCAAGAAAACCTCGGCGGCCACCTTAGGAGCAGCAGCACGGCGGCACGGCGGCGGGACTGGCCGCAGTCATCACGATAGCAGTATGCTCGAAGCCACGGGCAGAAAAGCTCGTCGTCGTCATATCTGGGACCTGTACCTTCGGACCAGGCGGAGTCACACTCAGCGCAGCCCTTGCGGCTGCGCTGTTTCCATAGCTGGCCATCACAATCACAGATGTACCACTTGTCGTCAACTTGAGACGTACAGCATTGGAGTGGCACGGGCCCATGAAGTACTTGTCGCCGATCATGTCGGCGGGGACGTTACCTAGCACATAGGTACGGTCTGCAAACTGCTTGCTGTCAGCTCTCAGTGTCTGCCAGCTGCCCGGGAAGGCTCCCGAAGTCACTGTAAGCACGGGGGATGCGTCGCCCTTCACCTTGGCCCGCCCGAAGCCGGGGACGATACCGATGGAAACGACACCGGACAGCGACCGCTGTTACGCAAACGACGACCACTCTTAAACTCAAAACCATCGCTGCGAAACCGACAGCAACATGTACCCAAAACGAGCAGCAAGCTGTCTCAGTCGGGTTAGACGAAAGGAGGGGGTACGTAAAGGAGGAATTAGCGAATCAGCTCACGCGGCTGATTCTCCGGCGCCTCCCAACGCTGGAGGCGCCAAAATGAGCATGCACACACACCTATATAAATATATATATATACAAGACTGCAACGGCGCTTCGCGCCATGCACCTTGTTCCTTGAAGTTTGGTATGCAGGCGGAATAGCAGGAAGGTCAAGCCGACAACTTAGCGATAACGCATTGTTGCCTGTTCTGGCATCGCCGCTATGATAATGTTTTTCGTTATCCTTCCTCCATGCTTCCTTTTCCTCATGTTCGCCATACCCTGCGCATTCTCCCCATCCTCCTCAGCTCTTTTTTGCGGAGGCTCCTCCTGGGAGTGCCTCTGGGGGCCTCACAAAAGTTGTTTCAGGCTTTCTTAAGGCCTTCTGGAAGCCTCCTGGGCGTATTCTGGGGGCCTCTGGGGGCACCCTGCCTCCAACCGCGGTCTCCCTGAACGACCAGGTCACGATTTGGAATGCTTCGGAGGGCGTCTTGGGACCATCTTGGGCCGCCATGGAGCTCTCTGAGAGCCATCTTGGACCCGTGTTATGCCGTTTGGGGGCTCTCGTGGCAGCCTGAAAGCCCTTTCGGATGATTGTGGGGCGATTTGGGAGCCTCCCAGGCGGCTTCGGACACCCAGAAGACCGCCGTGTTGGAGCGTCAGGAAGCAGAAAAAAGGAGAACCCCAAAATTCACCAAACACCAACAGAAAATCCATGATTTGTGCCTCTTGTGGCCTTCTTGGGAGTGCTCTTGGAGGCCTCTTTGGGGCCGTCCTGGAGGCCTCTTGGGCCATCCTGAGGTCACGTCGGTCACTCTTGAAGCGCTCTTGTGCTGTCTTGGGGGTCTCTGAGACGTTTCCGATGACCCCCCTGATCGCCCTAGGTGTGCTGGGAAGGCTTGGCAAAACGCCCTGCGAGGACCGGGGGGGGCGCTTCGAGGCCCCTCAGGAGGGTCCCAAAGCCCCAGATCGCGGAAGTCCGGTTTTGGGGCGGGGGGGTGGGGGATTTTCCCCCGTCCGGGCTTATAAAAAATACAGGAAGAGGAGTGCTTATATATATATATATATATATATATATATACATATATACATATATATATATGTATATATAAATATAGATATATATATATATATACATATATATATATATACATATACATATATGTACCAAGACTGAAGGCCCCGCTCGTGCCGTCCCCGCTCGTGCCGTCCCCGGTTCGGCCCCTCTTGATCACCACGATGGTGAATTCCAGGTCCTGCGCCGTGGAGATTGTGAACTCGCTCGCCCCGGCGCCGACCCGCCGGCCCTCCTCCAGGAGGACGGCAGGCGGCGCCGACTCCGCGGCGGACCTCGCGAGGGCGGAGGAACGCATGAGCGACGAGGGCCGCAGGAGGGCAGAACCTCGCAGCACCGCATCGCGCCATCGAATCGACGAAGGGCGCACGCGAGACCAGGGCGCAGCGGGGCCACGAGATCGGGCCGAGGCGGGCCCGCCGCGCCAGGGCGCGCGGCGGCGCCGCGCAGGCGTCGGGGGGCGCATGGGATCGCCGGGAGGTCGGCATCGGATGGCATCGGGCCTGCCGGAGCTGGCAATCGATGCCGGGTCGGATGGATCGGCTCGGCACTGGACTCCAGTAGAGGGCAGAAACTCCACCCCCATAAGTGTCACCCCGGCACGAGAAGCCGTCCCGTAAACGCACCCACAGAAGGAATCGAACAGGGCAGGGCTGTTTAGCAAACGCCCAGGGCCGTTTAGCAAACGCCAATCATTGGGTGCGGGTGGTGTTTCCTCCCTTGATCCAGAGAGGCGGCGGCAGAACCGCGGGTCGGCGGAGTTCTGGCGAGGCCAGCGAAAAACGGCCCGCGGAAAGAATGCTGGCAGGCCCCCCCCCAAAAAAAACGACGGGGCCCAAGCTGAGGATTTCGGCGACAGCACATCATTGAGCGGTGTGGAAGCCTCTCCCCGAACACAGGCCCCCCCCCCCCTGGAGCAGCAGCAGCAGGATCAGGAGCGGGCGCGAGAGCGGGAGGACGAAGGCGAAAACTCGGACGGGGAAAGAGGCGACGGGGAGGGGAAAAGCGAGCGGAAGGATGATGGAGAAAGCAGAACGAAAGGAGGAAGGGGCGCAAAAAAAGTTGGGGGACCTATTCCCAGGGTTTCCTGCAGGACGGCGTCCAAAGAGAGAGGGAGGGGAAGGACAAGCAGCAGCAGCAGCAGCAGCAGCAGCAGCAGCAGCAGCAGCAGCAGCAGCAGCAGCAGCGGGAGGGGAAGAGATGGTGTGCGAGCGCGACAGCGTCGCACGTGGGCCGCGCAGCCAGCCTAATTAGTCTGAGGAAGGGGGAGGCAGCGGTCTGTCAGACCCCCACTGCGCACAGTGGTCGCACGCCCGATTCCTCAGGCAGGTTCAGCAAGGGTATGCCAACGTACCCCGCCTTCGGCAGGCCTTGCACCGTGCGCGCGGAATTCCAAACAACAAAAAAAGTCAAACCGAAACTGCTACGTCGGGCACACTTGAACACGAACGCAACAAGCAAATGATAACAATCACGAACTGCGAAGGCTGCTACGCCGGGCATCGCGTAGGCGTACACGAACGCAACAGGCAACAGTACTCGAAAGTGGGTTTCACGGTGACCGCTGGCGCCGACGGGAATTCTGTCTTGACCATCTCGTACGACGGGCTGGCGCCGACGGGAATGCTGGCGCCGACGGGAATGCTGCAGCGCGCTGTCAGCAAAAGGGCGCAGGGTAAGGGCGCAAGGCTCGTCTGGATCGAAAAGAATGGGACGCCTAGCAAACACCTATGTAAGGGCAGCGTCGATACAAGCACAGGTTTTTTGAACCCACATCACGCACGTGATGTGGCTGGGTGGGTGGGTGGATTCGCCGGCACAGAACGTAACACAGTTGAGCCCGGCCGCTCGAAGGGTTTTTCTCGAGAGCACTGCCCCTGCTGTTATTGTCGGTACTGGCGTAACGAAAGGGCCTAACAACTGCGATCGCCCCAAGGCGCGTTGACACCGCAACGCACGCCCGTTCTGACCACACATTCAGATGCAGCAACCTACGCATGCGCCACATCGCCTGTGTACATCGTAGTACATGGGTGCATGGCAGTGCTCCTGTGCACCACAGCTTCTGCGCACACAACTCTAAACGCGTTCACCGCAACGCCCTTGCACAACACAGCTACGGCCCTGTGTACAACACGATCCGCGCGCACGCCACAACAGCCGCGCCCAGCGCGGCGAATGGCGCCTGCGTGCACCACGCTGCACATGTACACCGCAGAACCCATGTACACTTCGCGCATCCCGACGAGCTCCATGAACCGAAATCGTGTTCGCGGGGCGAACGTATCAAATTGAATGTGCAAGCTGCTTTGCCGCCTGGAGACCACGATGGCACAATAGCAAGCTGTTCGAGCTGCGTGCGGCCGCGGCGACGAAGATTCCTCCACAAGGGGGGGACCCTTGGAGCCTCGATCTCACTTGCGCCGCGGTTTCGTCCGAGGGGACCCAAGCCCAAGACGCACCCAAAAGGGTTCCGACGCGGGCCATAACGGCCACAAGACGAACTAGAAAACACCCAAAACTGCCCAAACGGCTCCCAAGAGGGGGAGCACCAACCGTCAGTTCGAGCCTTCCGCCCCAAAACGCCCCCAGGAGACCCCAAGAGACGACTAACTAACTCCTTAACAGGTCCAAGATGTACCCAAGAACGCGCCCAGGAGGGCCCCAAATGGCTCAAATCCCCCCGTTCCCCTTATTGGCCCCCGCATCTGCCTGTCGTGTTCCTCGTCCTCTTCGTTTTCGTCCTCGCCCTCGCCCTCGCCCTCGTCCTTCTCCTCCTCCTCCTCCTCCTCGTCCTCCTGCTCCCCCGTCCTCCTCCAGGTTAGGCCTCGGCCGTTCGCGGACGTCGTCCTCGACAGCCTGGTCGGTGACCTGGCAATCGTGGACGAGGCTGCGGACGGGTGGTAGGCCCCTGGCTGCGCCTGCTGGCACTCCCCTTTGGGGAGGTGTTCGGGCCCTTTATCTCACGGTCGGGCTTGCGCCCGAGCCGCCTAGCTGTGCCTGCACGCTTGCCGCCGCGCCTGATGAAAACTCCTCCTCCTCCTCTTCCTCCTCCTCCTCCTCCTCCTCCTGCTCCTGCTCCTCCTCCTCCTGCTCCTGCTCCTGCTCCTCCTCCTCCTCCTCCTCCTCCTCCTCCTCGTCCTCCTCCCGTTCCTCGTCTTCCTGCTCCTACTCCTGTGCCTGCTCTTGTTCCTGCTCCTGCTCCTGTTCGTGCTCGTGCTCCTGCTCCTGCTCCTGCTCCTGCTCCTCCTCCTCCTCCTCCTCCTCCTCCTCCTCCTCCTCCTCCTCCTCCGCCTCCTCCTCCTCCTCCTCCTCCTCCTCCTCGTCTTCCTCTTCCTCCTCCTTCCCACCCCCCATCGTCCTAGTGCCCAAGGTCGGCGGAACCAGCTGGAATGTTGTCCAAATGAAGCGGATACTGCAGCTTCGGCCTCCTCTGCCTTTCTCCTGCGCGACGGCATGGCGGGCGCAAGGGAAGATGGATTTCTCGTTCCGCCGCGACGCGGCGTCGAGGACGCAGGCCCAAGGGCGCAGCAGCGCCAAACCATTATTCAGAAACGGCCGAGCCTTGAACCCGAATGGCCACAGACGGCGGGCCAAGAAAAAGATACACATTCGTGCTGGCACACGGGAGCTTTCGCAGACGTGGACCCCCAGAAGTCTGGACCCCTTCCTGGCTTGTCATCTCGAGCCGTTGTTTGACGGTCCTGAGGCCCGGTGAGGGCCCCCAGAAGCCCAAAACGTCAAAAAATCATCCGTCGCAGATTCTTCACGACGCGAGGGCGGCTGGGGACGATGGCCGGCGGCGGCGAACCCGGGGGCCGACCCGGCTCGCACGACGCCGTGCGGCCTGACCTCCGCGGAGGCGGGGAAAGCCCGATGCCCACCTGGGGGGCGCGGCCGCGCCCAGAGGCAGGCGGGAGGCGTCGCCGCCGCCGCCGTCGGCGCTCGTCGCCAGTGGTCGCCAGGGTCACCGCCCTCCTCTCGCTGCGGAGTGCTCACGACGGAGGGCCGATCCTCTGGGTCGAGGGTCGAGGTTCGAGGGCGAGGCTCGCTTTCCTGGGCGTTGCTGGTCTTCCTGCCGCGCCCTGAGGGCCACGGCCGCATCGCCGCCGGCGCCTGTCGCGTACGGTCGTCGCTCTTCTGGCAACGGCGGGCCTCGGCCACGAACAGGCCGTCCGACGCTGATCCGAGGAGTGGCCACAGCTCTCCGACACAGGTCTCGGGGAACGGCCCGAAATCCTGCCCTCTCGAGCCCAAGATGATCCTTCCTGCAACGCCTCGACTGCAACAGAGGACGAAAAAGCTGCATAAATGAAGGGGCCCTGGGACACACAAAAAGAAAGACAAACAAATAACAGGATTCGCCATATTTTCTCATACTTCAGGGGTTGTTGTCTTCCCCCCACTTCCCATATTTTCCCGTATTTTCGGGGGAATCAACGATTAATTGTGTCTGCGTTTTTTCCTACTGGATAAAAAAAAACTGCCAGAGGTCCGCGCGGGGTTCTTGGATCTGCGCTGAGCCCCCCTCCCTGGCGCGCGGAATCGGGCATCTGTGAAAGCTGGCGGGCTTGGTATCGAGCGCCGCGGCCGTTTCAGAGCGCTCTGAAACGCTCTGAGAGCGTTCTGGAGCGCTCCTGGAGGCGATCTATCCTTGTCCTGGGAGTGCCCGAGTGAGACCCTCGGGCGTCCTAGCTCGCTAGGGTACCCTCGGGGGACAGCCAACGAGCATGGGCAGGGATGGACCGAGCTGGCAAGAATGCGAGGGCAGAGTGGATGAGATGCCGCACACGGCGGGGCTTACGCCGTGGTAACGTCGGCTCTGCTCTCTGACACCGCGTGGGTCATTGCAAAAGTCGGAACAGATCCTTCGACATGGGCCGATTGGGCGTTCAATCTTGAACGCCCGTGCTGGAGTTCACTATCGCGGTTTAGCTTCTGCGGTCCCCTCTTCGATCTGACGTCGTACTTCCTGCCGCGAGGAGACGTCGAGAGCGGTGGTCCGCGCACTCAGAAAGCAGAAATGATGTCACGGTGCAAGGGGGTGCACCATTCCCTGGGGCCCGACATTCAGCGGGCGAGTTGGCAAACCAAAATCCGCCTCGGCTCTGCACCAAGAGGGGCAACTTGTGAGCTCGCGCGCATGGGAGCGTCTTGGAGAGGACCCAGAGAAAACGCTTCTTAAAGAATGAACCAGAAATCCGCCCACCCTGTCTGCTCGTGTGACACGTATTTCCGTTTGAGTCGTCGTCGTCGCCGTCCCCGCTCCCCCCTTTCCCTGGGCCCTCCTCAAGCGATCCAGCCAGACGGAAATCAAACACCGTCGATTGATTCGAAGGAAAGCCCCTTCCCTTGGATCCCGTCCCTGGCGGAGAAGCAGAGGGGGGGTACTGGGAGAGTCCCGGAGAGGGTATAGCCGGGGGGGTTCCCGTGTGGGGTCCCCGGGGTCGCGACCTCCCCGCCACCGGGCGGTCCCCCGTGGACAAGAGGGACATGGGGGCAGTCCCCTTGTGGACAGGGGGAACTCAGGACCCCTCCCTGTGGACAGTGAGACACCCCTTTCCTCCCGGACCACTACTCCAGGATGCACCCTCCACACTCTTATCTGCTGTTGCGGGGTGCTGCGTGATTGCCCACATGCCTCCAAGAGCCATCAGATCGGGTCCGAGGCAGCTCCAAGTGGCCACGGAGCTTCCCAAGAAGTCCCCCAAGAGGCCCTCCAACAAAGCCCAATAGGCTCCAAAGAGAGCCCCGAAAAGTGCTCCAGAGCGTGAGCCGCCGCCGCCGACGTCGTCTTCGTCCCCATCCAGGGTCGGCGGCACCGGCCGCAAGGCCTTCCCAATAGATTCCCAAGACCCCAAGACCGTGAGAAATGTAATCTGAGATGTGTTCGGCCAGCGAGCATCCTCGTCGTCATCCCTCAAGAGGGTCCCAAGACGTGGCAACAGGGTTCATTTGAGCATGGTTTTGGGTTCCCCAGATGGACGCACGGCGCCAGAACGCTTCTACGACAGCGCCCCCCGGAAGAGAAGCATCCAGGGCTTCCATAGGGTCGGCGGTACGGCGCAAGCCGGGACCGAGACAAGGACCAAGCATCGGACAGGGACAGGTCGGGGATCTCAGAGATCTGGCGGGTCTGGGGGATGCACCGGGCGGCGTGGCCGGCCCGGCCCCCCGCTCAGGAGTGAGAGCGTTCCAGAGGCTCCGGAGCGATTTCGCCTGGCCCAGGGCCTGCCCGATGCATCCGCAGGCCCAGACCACCGACGTCATGATTTTTTCATGGCGCGACCCCCAGAGGTCCGGACTGATTCGCCGGGACTGGTTTTTCATCCTGGTGAAATGTTTTCTGACGGTCCCGAGGGCCGGCAAGGGCCCCCAGAGGCGGAACACATACCTTCCGTCGTGATTTCTGCATGACTCGAGAAGGTCTGGGGGACCAGGACCGTGAGAAGTGTAGGCCGAGATGTGTGCGGCCAGCCGGCCTCGTCGTCGCCCTCGTCGTCGGGCCCTCCCGGGGCCATGCGGGCAGGCGCACTGCGCCTGCCCGGGCGCGGCAGCAGCAGGCAGGGGGCGCCCACCGAGCGTCGTGCCGCCCGTCTTCGGCAGGCTCATCAAGACAACGATGCTGGGGCCCCGGGGGGGGGGGCGGGGCAGGGAGGCGGGAGAGGAGAGGGCGCAGTCCCCCCTCCCGCCCTCCTGTCCTCCTCTCCTCCCTGTCTCCCTCCTCGGGGCAGCCCCCCTCCAACCCCTGACCTCAGCTCTGCACCCTCCCAGGTGTGTCGGCTGCGGCCGTCGCCAGTGCCACAGCGCGAACCCCACCGCTGGCAGGCATAACTAGCGACACGAGCTTGATCATACGCCCCCGGGGGAAAAGGGGGGATAGCAGCATCCTTTGGGCATTCACGTGCCAGCAGCGTGAGCGTCAGAGGGCGCAGGGAATACCACGCTGCACTGCCGAGTGGGCGGGGTGCATGACTGCGGCGGCCCAACAAGACATGGGGCCTCAATCAAGAGGGCCCGGAGACGGTCCAGGCGGTCCCACCGAGAGCGGGGAAGGAGGAGGAGGAGGAGGAGGAGGAGGAGGAGGAGGAGGAGGAGGAGAAAGGGGCGGGAGGAGCAGCAGCAGCGGGAGGAGGAGGAGAAAGGAGCACGAGGACGAGGGAGAAGAAGGGGAGCAGTCAAAACCCAAATGGCATCGATCGAGCACGTTGGCGCGGCGGAGCGCGCGACAAGCGGGGCCTCCCCACGCAGCGCTTGCACTTCTAGGGGTTCTGCCTCGACGAATTGCACGAGCCTGTCGACGTCTCGCCCAGGCCCCGATGCGTGCCCGGTCGTGGGCGCCCCGTGGACGCCCCGGGCGCCGGGCCGGTCCGTCCGATCGTCGCCTGGTGCCCGGCGGGGGGCGCCTTCTGGACGCCCCGTGCGCCGGACTGATCTGTCGGGGTTAGGGAGACTCTTCATGGGGGGGGGATCCCATGGGGGTATAGGATCCCAGGGGGGGGGATCCCATAGGATCCCCTGGGGATCCCATGGAGAGTCTCCCGGGGTGTCGCTCGGCGCCCTTGAGGAGCCCGGGCGACGGCGCCTCGAGGGCGCTCCGTGCGCCTGTCGGAGAGCACGTCGCGCTCACCACGTTGGCTTCACTGCAGGTGTAGTCCCCTTCCTGGACTCGTCCGTTCCCCTCCGCGCAGTGTTCTGTGCCTGATCACTCCGCACGGTGGAGCATCCGGAATAGCAAATCTGCCGACCCGTTCGTTGTGTGCGTCGTCGCCGTCGGCGTCGCCGTCGCCGCTCAAGCCTTTTCCCTGGGCCCTCCTCCTCACACGGACCAGCCTAAGCGAAATAGAGTAACGTCATCACTGAGTCGAATGGAAGCCCCGTCCATGTGATGACTACCTACCAGACCACCCCAACCCAACCCGAAGTCCCGAATTTCGGGTTGGGGGAGTACGGATTCTATCTGTGATGTTTCAATGTTCCCCGACAACCCCCCAGTAGAAATGGAGGGCAAATTCAAGCCTTCGGGTTGGGTTGGGGTGGTTTGGTGGGTGGTGACTGATCCCTTCTCCGCGGGGGGGGGTCCCCAAAGAGGGTGTAGCAGCGTCGTCCCGGGAGTGCCAGGGTCAGCATATCACCACCCCCTGGGGCTCCCTGGGCCCACCAGGCAAGAGGCCCCCACGAGGCCCCCAGGCGCCCCCAAGGAACCTCCGGTGGCAACTCATGGGAGCCTCCCATACCATCTTCTCGGCTCCTGCGAGTCGACGCTAGTGGACGCTAAAACGACGCCAGTCGGCGCTAAATCGAAACGCTAGTCGACGCTATCTCCTCGACTCTCACACGCTTCTCGACGGCAATCGACACTGAGACGACGGAAGAAGAGGGTATACCAGGCTCCCA